AGGGAACGGGATGGGAGCGAGGGGAATGGAAATGGGATGAGGACTGGGACTGGGAAAACGGGGTGGGGATGGAAGGAAGGGGATGGGGATGAGAGGACGGGGAAGGGACACAGGGGAACAGGATGGGAATGAGGGGGAACAGGATAGAAATGAGGGGGAAAGGAATGGGAATGAGGGGAATGGAAATGGGACTGGGATGAGGACGGGGAAAATGGGATGGGAATGGAGGGAACGGGATGGGGATGAGATGATGGGGATGAGACACGGGGGAATGGGATGGGGATAGGGCAGGGATACAGGGGAACGGCACAGAGACACGGTGGAACAGGATGGGAATGAGGGGAATGGAAACGGGACTGAGACCGGGATGAGGACAGGGGAAACAGGATGGGAATGAAGGGAACAGGATGAGGACGAGACAGAGACATGGTGGAATGGGATGGGAATGAGGGGAATGGAAACAGGACCGGGACAAGGATGGTGGAAATGGGATGCAGACAGAGGGAAGGGGATGGGGATGTGGGGAAACAGGGCAGCGACATGGGGGAAGGGAATGGGAGAGGGGGAACGGAATGGGAATGAGGGGGAATGGGATGGGAACGAGGGGAATGGGAGGGAGATGGAATGGGGATGGGGCAGGGACATGGGGGAACGGGATGGGAGAGGGGGAACGGAATGGGAATGAGGGGGAATGGGATGGAGATGGAATGGGGATGGGGCAGGGACATGGGGGAACGGGATGGGGACAAGGCAAACAGGACTGGGACCAGGACAGGGGAAACAGGATGGGGATGGAGGGAGCAGGATGGGGACACAGAGGAACAGGATGGGATTGAGGGGAATGGAAATGGGACCAGGACAAGGACAGGAGAAATGGGATGGGGATGGAAGGAATGGGATGGGGGTGTGGGGGAATGGGGCAGGGACACGATTGAATGGGATGGGAATGAGGGGGAACGGGATAGGAATAATGGGAATGGAAACAGGACTGGGATGAGGATGGGGGAAATGGGATGGGGATGGGGGGAATGGGATGGGGACGGGGAAATGGGGATGTGGGGGAACGGGGCAGGGATACACGGGAATGGGATGGGGGCCAGGGGATGGGGCAGGGACATGGGAGGGCTGGGGCTGGGGTGAAGCAGTGAAGGCACAGGGATGTGGGGAACAAGGATATGGACATGGGAAACCAGGAATGGGAGTGGGATGTGGAGGAATGGGACGGGGCTGAGGGGATGCTGGGTCCAGGATACAGGGGGACTAGGACCAGGATGTGGGGGACCAGGACAGGGACATGGGACACCAGGACAGGGACACAGGGGCACTGGGACCAGGACAGGGGTTTGGAGGGACAGGGACATGGGGACCCAGGACAGGGACATGGGGGCCAAGGACAGGGACATGGGGACATGGGATAGGATGACATGGGTTGCAGGCCTGGGATGGGGTGGAACAGGACAGAGGGGAATGGGACCAGGATGTGGGGACTAGGGACAGAGATGTGAGGGACCAGAACACAGACACAGGGACACTGGGAGCGGGACAGGTGCGTGGAGGGACAGGAACACAGGGGAACTGAACTGGGACCTGAGGGAACCAGGACACAGAGCACCAGGTCAGGGACAGGGGAACTGGGACAGGGACATAGGGAAATGGGAGGGGACACAGGGACAGGAGAGAGGGACAGGGACGTGGAGGACCAGGACAGGGACGTGGGTGACAGAGACAGTAACAGGGGCACTGGGACTGGGACAGGAGGATACCAGGATCAGGACAGGGATATGGGGGACCAGGACACAGGGGAGTGGGACAGAGATAAGGGGAACTGGGGCAGGGATGTGGGGGACAAAGGACCAGGATGTATGAGGATCCTGAGACTGTGACAGGGACACTGGGACCAGGACGTGGGTGATCCAGGCATGTGAGGGACATGGGAGCACCAGGACCAGGACAGGTGTGTGGAGAGACTGGGACAGGGACATGGGGGACAAGGACCAGGACGTGAGGGGACACAGGGACAGACACAGAGAAACAGGACAGGGACATG